GATTTTCATAAAATGTAGTGTGGTGTTGCTTTATTAAAAAATCAGGGACCTATGCAGCACTATTTTTCAAAATTTTTCTTTGGATTATGGAAAACAGATTTAGGACACAATCCAGACACCACCTGGGATGGGAGGCACAGGATTTTTCAGAGCCCCAGATCTGTGCTGGGATTGCAAAGGGCAAGCCCTTACCTTGGCCCCTTGCTGCCCGGGTGGAAAGATCTGCATCCAGAACACTGCAAAGGGGCCTTGGAGAGGCAAATGGGGGCATGACAGGGCTCAGGGAGGAAAGGAGGCTGGACTGAGGGCTTACACCTACCAGTCTCCCAGCCTCCTCCTCTCACGCTCTCTGGTCCATCACCATCATCTATATACTGCCCCAGAGAGCTTCACAGCCTTAACTAGAGGACTGAGGTGCAGCCGTGGCAGAGGCTGAGTTGTGGTGAGGGTGGAGGGCATAGGCTTTCTGGATGGACAACCATCCAGCCCCTAAGTTGGGAGTTGTAGGACTTTTTCTGTCTAGATATGTATTTGATAGGGTGCACAAATACAAATATAATTTGTTATTGTGAAGAACTGTAAAGAAAACCTCCAAGCAGCCAATGAACCCAACCTTTATTTTTTCTGTAAAGCAAAGGTGAAAAAGCTGTTCAATGTACTACCTTCTAGTAACAACTAGATTTAAATTTGATGTATGTTTTAGTTCTTGTATATCTTTAAAAATGACACATCCATTGCACCCTCCATGGGTTAATGGCATACTGGGTTGCATTATACATAGGTAATAGAGGTGTGTATAGAGGGGGGTATCCTATGGGGTAAGACACACCCGCGCAATGTGTGTGCCCAATAACATCACAGATGGTGCATGTTTGATTTTCTTTTTTTAATGCTGACGATCGTCTGTGCAGAACTTTTCCTGTGTATGAATGGAAGCCTGGGATTAATAGAAACTTATTTGTTAGTTTTTCTGGATGCTTCCAGGCAAGGCTATTATTACACCACTGCCCTGCCTCATTCACAGAATTTAATAGGGGCTCCAGATGTCTCTTTCTACTGTTAATCTTCTGATGTTTCCCTACTACTTCTTTCAGCTTTTTTTTTTTTTTTGCAAAGCATCATTTAGGGTGGCATTCTATGCACGTTAAGACAGAAAAACAGTACTGAAAAAGAAAAAAAACCTTGGAGTTGTAGAAAACAAGCTAAATATGAGCCAGCAATGTGATGCAGCTGCAAAAAAAAGGCAAACACTATTTTGGGATACATAAAGAGAGGTATCACATCCAGCAAAAGAGAAGTACTCATTCCCCTCTACTCTGCACTAGTCAGACCTCACCTGGAATACAAGAGCACCCAGGGTATTCTTGTATTTTTTAAACCTTGGGCACCCAGGTTTAAAAAGTATGCTGAAAATCTGGAAAGAGTTCAGAGGAGGGCAACAAAGATAATATAGGGCCTGGAAACCAAGTCTTATGGCAAGAGGCTGAAAGAACCAGGCCTGTTCAGCCTTGAGAAAAGAAGACTACAAGGTACCATCATAGCATTCCACAGGTACTTTAAAGGCTGTCACGAAGAAGAAGGAAAAGACCTCCTCTTGCTCATCTCAGTGTAGCACATGGAACAATGAACTTAAACTACAGTACATCAGGTGCAGGTTAGACACAAGGAAGAACTTTCCTTGATCCCTCCTGATCCAGCTATTCTTTGATGCTATGAAAAAAGTCATACAACTCCCAGCATCCTCCAGTAGAATTAGGATAATTATGCTCCCTTGCAAATAGGCCTTCTAAATGGCTGATAAGTGATGTCAGTTATCAGTTATTCCCGCTTTAGCATCTGTCTTGGCCTCGAGATGATCCAAGGGACACAAGCCTAGACGTTGGGTGAATCTCCTTGACTGACTGCTTTGGGCACGTGCCGCGTGATAAAACTTTTCCATTGGTCCCTCCCTGATGGAGTAATTATATGTTTTCTCAGTGGGATCTGGTGACACTCCCTCATAAATCCACCAAAACGACTTGAGAAAGAGACGCCTCTTCTTCCTGTGTGGCTGGCCTGTAAGAACAAAGGTGTCATTAAAATTAATTATGAGCTGAAGAATGCTAATAACCCTGGCAGGTTTTTAAAAATAATGCCACCTCAAGGTCCAGCTGCACACGACCAGCTACAGAGGAGTTGCTCTTTCCACTCATCCATGGTCATCTCTACAGTCTGTGCACCTCAATTGTCATTCCTCTATATTCCTCATCCTGGATTCCTCCCACACCTGATATACTCCCATCTCCTGATTCAGTGTTCACATTCTTCCTTCGTACAGACCTGGAGAGGGACTTGCTGGCTGTGAGAAGGATCCAGTGAGACATGAATTACTTGGGCTTCATCTTCAGGAAGGTAAGACGAAGCTGGAAGAGATGAGAGAAAGAAGAGGAGGATGTGTTATCTGGGAGAGAGATGAGTGCTATTTACATGTGTGATGGGAAAACTGAAGGAGGGTGCTTCTTTTACATGAATTTCTTTAAAACTTTTCTATCTTGCCCTCCACTGCGTGAGACTTCAGGGCAGTTTACAATAAAATGGGTTTTTGTTTTAAAAACCCAATGCAGTACAAAAAAGCTGTATTAAAAGACAGCAATAAAAATTTTAACCAACATTTTGGTGACAAAGATAGCCTACAAAGTTGTACAAATTTAAAAGGCCCAAGTCAAAAGATACAGAAAATGTTGTAAAATCTATGTGTCCTTAAGGAGAACATCAGTGGACGTTCATTGTCTAATACATTTCTCTGACTTGAGCACCTCAAGTTTTCTCTTGCCCCCAAGTTCAGCTTTATCTGAAGTTACTACCACATTGGATCTTCTTTCTGGAAAATGATCTCTTGCTGGCAGGGTTGGTCTAAATCCAGACTGTAGTCCTAAACACACTGTACTCAGACTGTAGCCCCAACACACACTTACCTGGTAAGTCCTGCCGAATTCCATAGTGCTTATTTCTAAGTAGACCTGTATTGGGTGGTGTTAAGCCATGATGCACACTGACAGAGTAATTTTATTTAGGAGACTTCCAAAGTCCCATTGGGTTCAGTGGGACTTACTTTTGGGGACATGTGCATAGGATTGCAGCTTGGAAAGCTGCTGCTAGGAAGGCCTAGGAGGAGGAGAAGAAAGACCATGTCTGCCATTTGGAGCAAAAGGGCAAGTTTGTGTGTGCGTGTGCGAGAGAGAGAGAGAGAGAGCCCCTGTATGCAAGACATCTAGTTGAACTCTGAATGCCCAAGTAGGTAATGTATCTTGTTGGAGTCAGCATCTTATGTAGCCAGGATGTGATTAGGCTGTTGAAGAGAGATAGAAGATAATAAAGGCATTTTCATTGACTTTGCTGTGAGACTAGAAGCTCTTGTCCCTTTCTCAACTATCATTTGGTGGCAAGGATTCTGTCAGGCTACCTGTACTTGTTACAAGAACTGTAACTTTAAGAACTGCCGCTAGAGTTTCCTTCCCCCACCCTTCCCTCCCCTTCCATTTTTCTTTTTGGGTGATGTTTTTTCAAGAGTAAGTCTGAAGGCAGGGACGTGTGTCAGTCCGTCCTTGATATGTAGGCTGTGCTAGGAATCTTTCCAGATGAAGACCAGGCTCTAAATGTTTCAACTCAATGAATGTAGGAGTTGACCAGAACTTCTCAGAAAAATCTGCACACTCCTCCGGATAGAAGTTGACCAATAAAAGGCACTGTAAATCAAGTAGCCTTCAGCTAGTATCTCATGACTTACAGAAGAGTCGTAAGTGACTTGGATGGCTCACACTGGTGGCATCACAGCCACAGTGTCTTTTTGAGAAGGGAATGGAAAACATGGAGAGTAAGAGAAGAGAAAGACAAAAGTGAGAGAGGAGAAAGACAGATGAGGGAAGAAGTGTGCGTGCGTGCGTGTGTTGGGAAGTCAGTCGGAGAGAAGGAAGGTGGATGAGTATATAGAATTTAAAATTCCAGGTCCCCATCACATGCATCCTCATTATCTCAGCATGATTTAGCTGGGATGATGAAAGGGTGTGGCATCTGCAGAGCCAGGGACAGCTACTTTGTCTTTAAAACGCCCATGATTTTTTCTGTTGTTTACTGTCATGCAGACTCCACTTGGTTTTCAAGGCACTGGGTGCCTTACTACGACCTATTAGCTTGAAAAGTAGTAAGATCCCAACGGGAATGGGGAACCGAAGGAGACAGGTGGACAAAGTGGATCCCGCCAAATACTCAGTTCTATCCAGTGCCAGAAGTGGAAATAAGTCCCGGTGAAGCTGTTGTTGTGACATGCTGACAAGCCGTCTCCGATCCAGCACCACTAACTTCTCCTGAATTCATTAAGGTCAGGGGCATGGTATCTGCCGGAACACGATGTATCCCGGCGACCCTCGTGAGCAGGCGCGAAAGCCTTCAGGTGGCAGAAACTGGCGAAGATTTTGAGAGCGCAGGAGGAGCGCAAGGATTACCTTCGCCCTTGCGCGTCTCCTGCGCTTGAGAGGCTGCCTGCGCTTGAGCGCTGTGGCTTCCGCCTTGGGCTGCGCGCTTAGTTTCTCTGCGGGCGCAGCCGGGCGAGCTCGCACAGGTGGACGTGAGTGCAAAGGCGCCGCCCGCGTGGCTGTGCGGACCCTGCGCCGAATCCTGTGCTCTCCCTCCGTTCTCCCATTCAGGGCAGCGGGTGGCGGCTGCGGTTCGCTGAGACCGCCTTGGCACCGCCCCCCATTATGGGTCCCGCCCCGCCGCTCCAGACCCAGGCGACACCGGCCGCCACTGGCCCAGTTAATTAACTTCGAACTAGAGGGCCGCGAACTCGCCGGAGCTGGAAGTGCGCCGCCGCCGCTGCCGCCTCCCCTGCGCGGCGCCAAGGCCGAGCGAGCGGGCCGGGCGAGGGAAGTCCCTGCCGCGCCGCCGGCCTCTTTCGGGATACGGGAAGAAAGCGAAATCGAAAGCGGCGGCGCGGCCAGAGGAGCTGGCGCCGGGCGAGTCAGGCGCCTCAGCGCTGGCCGGCCGGCCGCTCCGCCCCTCGCCCGCCCGGAACTTTCCCGTGCAGGCGTGACTCGGCGGCGCTCAGCCTGCGCCGGCACAAGCGTCTCGGGCAGGGCTGGCAGGTGGAGCGAGATCGCGCTGCCTCTCGCCCGCAGCCCCGCCGCGGAGGGACGAACACGGCCGCCCTCGAGCGGGGCAGGGACAGAACGGCGCTCGGTGAGTAAGTGCGTGGCCGGTGGCGAAGGAGGAAGGCTGCGAGCGCGACGCCGGCGCTGCTCCCCAGGGGCTTTCCCCCTGTTTCTGCTCGGCGCCTTGTGCTTTTCTGTTGTTCTTCGGCTTTGTTTTAGTCTATGGGATTTCACATATTGCTACCTGGACTACGATGTATGCTGGCATATAAGCCTCGGTTGCTATGTTGACGGCTCAGCTTCATTGGCGTAATCCTAAGCACATTTAGTCAGAGGGAAAATCCTACAACTGCAGGCATTCCCCATCTGGATTTTTTATTTTTTGGTGGTCTAAGCTCGTATAGAATTGCCCCCTTAATTTGAAAAGGCGTTTAGGCGTTCGCAGCAAACCTGTGGCGGAGGCAGGCTACTTGTAATTCCCATTTTACAGCAGGGAAAGCTGCGGCTGAGAGCAAAATAGGATTGCTGGCTGAGGTTGGCTTAGACATACGGTTGTTTTTATGGAACTCGATGAATCTTGCCTCTGAATGTAACCTTAAAGCAGTTCTTTTTTCAGTGTGACCCTTAAATCGGTATCTGCTAAAGACTTATTTGCATTACAAATGCCTTCTTGTCTTCCCCATTGGAAGTCATCAAGTTTCATCTTAGAAGCACGAAGGCAATTCTAACGTCCTGGCAGAGGACGATGGATATTAGTGTGAACTAGGAAATCCCCCTGCTAACTCCCAGTCACTAGATGACTTTAGGTAAATTCCTTGCCCTTTGGCCTCGAACGGAGCCCACCCCGGTTGTAACATGAGAATAATAATAATGTTCTCCGGTATAGGATTGTTGTAAGAATTATTGAGAGGGTTTGTATGGAGTTTTTCTCTCTGCAGCAAAATGCTAAGGGGTTGTTCTTCCCGTGATTTTTAACAGCAGAGGCTGCCTACTGTAAGTGTGCTTGAAAATCAAGTGGTTTCATTCCATAGAATATTAACACATTCTTAGCACAGCGTCTCTTAGTTTCGTGCTCCACAATCACCACATTCCAGTAGATGAAATACACTCACTTGGGAGATGCAGAGTTTGTCACCAGTCATGTCAACAAATTCTTTGATTAAAAACAAAGACAATTTGGCACCTTTTGCTCAGAGGACACAGTGCATTGAATCCATGCCAAGGTAGCTGAAGTTGAAATCAGTGGGACAACCTACTAATGATTTGACTTGAAGTCCCATTGATTTCAGTGGGAATTGAGCTTGGTGATGATCCTGATGGTGCATTTCCAGAATAATGCAAGTAGCACCAGAGACAACAGAGGAGGGAAAAGACAGTGCAGGGGTGGGGGGGGGGGGCAGCATTCTCCAGCCTGGGCCCTTCCAGATGTTTTGGACTGCATCTCTAGTATTTGTGGTCATTTGTCATACCAGCTGGGACTTTACGTGCTTGCATGAAAGGGAAGCCAAAGGGAAATTAAGTTTTGGAGGAGAGATGGGGCAGCAGCGTTCAGGTGTTTGGATAGAGAGAGAGAGAGACCATATTGTTTGCACATTAGAACTTTGGATGGGGATTGAGAAGCCAAAACAAGGAGGGGAGAGAGAGAACTTGAAAGAGGCAGCATTGCAGAAGTTGAATCAGTAAAAATTGCATGCAGAAGTTGCAGGCATTTCTTTTCAGCTTGCTGTTTCTTCTTGGCTTTCCTCATAGGTGAATTTGTATCAAGAAGAGTGACAGGCAGAGTTGATCAGCTGCTCCCCTGAGCTAACTGGAAAGTGAAAGTCACCTTTTTCTGTTTCTTTGGGACATTTCACTGGGGAATTCTGGCTTTCTAAGAAGGCTCTGCACCTATGTCTCCATGGATATTTCTTTGAGTGTTTGAGACTCCTGAATTTCCCAGGAAAAGTAAGGAGCTGGTATACATTTGGCAAACCTTCCCCAACCCAATGCCCTCTAGAGGTGTTGGACTGCAGGTTTGTCATTCCCAAGCAGCACAGCCAGTGGCTGTGACTTGGTGGCTGCAGCCGATCACGTCTGGAAGCCACCAGGTTGGGAAAGGCTGCGGTGCTACCATTGCCATTTGAGGAGAGCTTGTCCAAGAGCGCTTTGGATGCAAAAGGTCCCCGGTTAGGATGATATCAGCAGCTCCCCAAGACCACAAACAGGTTTTTCTCATCTTTAATAGTCAATAATATAGAGTGACTGATGCTAATCTAGGAAGAAGAATGCGCTGCCTCAGTAAAAGGCAGCCTCCTATGTACAGATGCCTAGCTGGGAAGCAGGGATAGTATCATCTGCAAAGTTTTGCCTTGCTTTTTGAGTGGAGTGGGTCAAAGCATGTTCACAGCCTCAGCCTCCCATGCCGTGGCTGTCTGGATGCTCCGGTCCTGAGTCACTTGCTCAGAGCTGGTTGCATGAATCAGAAACGTAGTAACCAAGAAGGAGGAGGTTCTTGCTTCAGCAATGAGGTCATGCTTTTGCTCAAGGGTGGTGTGCAGCACCTGTCCCATATATGCTTGCTCTTGTCTTGCTTCATGGCTCTGTTGCTTCTAGAAAGCAGGGTCTGAAGATCTATAATGCAGGCATTCTCTGGAATTTATAGATCCTTCACTCACAATAGAACTGAAATTCCATGAAATTGCTCAAGCTTTTGAGTTCTGAACTCTATCAGATTAGGTGGTACAAAACAGCAAAGTGTGGGTGGAAGAAGTGGAAAAGTCCATAGACATCTGACCAGATGATGTTGGCTTTGTGGTCTGCAGTTTAGATAGATCAGGGGTGGCAAGCTTTTTGCCCTCCAGATGTTTTTGCTTACAACTTCCACCTGCTCTAGCCAGAACATTTGAGGAATGCTGCTCTACAGCCAGTGGCTGGCCCAACTAAAATCCTTTTAAGTGACTGAGGCCCAATTCTATCCCTGCTTAGACAGAAAAGGGTCCTACAACAACCGGTTGTGTGGTCTGGGGAACGCTGGGAGTTATACAACGCTTTGTGTCTGAGCTTGCAGTCTTTGTGGTGTGCAGATGGTTGCAAAGGTTGGATGCACCCCACGAGGCCTGAAATAACCTCTCTTCACGTGTCGTGGCCTTTTTCAGGAAGTCACCCCACCCTGTCCACGTTCAGCAAAGGGGAGACAGAAGCTCAGAAAGGCCGTGCTGTGGTTCAGTTGCTTCAGCTTAGAACTGATTTTGGGAGGGGAAAGGGTGGAATGCAAATCAGTAAATGGGTGGAAACGCTGAAGGAGCTATTTGTGTTGCTGCAGTCTGGACACTGAGCAAGAACGACTCCAGGAGTCTCTCTACTGGGCTTGTCAGCACTCAGCTCACAGGCCACAAGTGCCACATGGCCGCCATCACTGCTCTGCTGCTGAATCTGCCATAGGGACGACCCCCCATTTCACTTTAAAATGAGGTGTGCAGTTCTGTCAAGGGGTCCCCCACTCCCCTTGCACAATGGTTGCCATTTAGCTGCAGAGGGAAGGGCTGTACCACTCAGGTGAATGTAAAACTAGTAGAAGGCCGACCCATTCTGCAGCATGGATGCCCCTTCTCAGAAATGGCTTGGCCCTTCCCAGAGCTTTGGGGCAGAGAACCATAAAAGGAATAGACATTTTCTGTGGTCAGATGACATCCATGAGTTGGATTCTGAGGCCCATGAACCGAAGGAAGACGGTCTACTTCTGCACAGTGCAAGTGGAAGGGTGCTCTTATCATCATTCATGTGCTGCTTGTGGCTTCTTGTGGAGGCATCTGTTTGGGTCATGCGTGGACAGGATGCTGGGCTAGATGGATGTTTGGTCAGGTCCAGCACGAATCTTCCTGCACCCTGAGAGCTCCCTGCTGGTCTGCCCAAGGATTGTTGATCTGGCATCACCCTAAATTGACACAGTTGGGTTCACTGATCAGACAAACCAGGCAAAATACGTCGATAGCAGTGCCAAGGGCTGCTTTCTTATCCACTGCCAGATTAACCTTTGCATTGCCATTTTAGGCATGCTGATGAGAACAATGGAAGTTGGAGGCCAAGGTTCACTTGGCAAGCCCCTGAGCTCAGGTTTCCTAGGCATGTGACCTTGATGCATTTAGAATCCCTCCTGTGACCTTGTTACACATGAAATTCCTGGGAACTTACTGCCGAATCAGCACTTGTTGGAGAAGTAGAAGGTCAAACTATTCTGTAGAATTCTCAACAGTGGCACCAGGATCCTGTAGCGTTAAAGAAGCACTAAAGGAGTTCTTTCACTGGTGGTATCAACCTGTGCACAGTAGTCATCTGCTGTAAGAGTTGACTGGGGATTGTGGGAGTTGTAGTCCAAAACATCTGGGCCGCAGGTTGAGTAAGTCTGTTACAAGGTACACAGCAAATGTTATACAGCAAAGGGAATTGTGCCATGTTCAAAGCTAAATGGCACTGGTGATTTGACAGCTCTTTAACAGCTGCAGTGTGCTTCTTCTCGATTCACAGATGCCAAGAAGCCCTACCAGTGCTGTCCTTTTACTGCCTGTGATATTTGATTAATTCTACATCTCTGAATTTTATAAATTGTAAGATCTCTTTGCGTACAAGGAAGTTTTGATCTCTTACTTGCGAAGTAAGTCTAGGGAGTTATTTCTGAAGTTTAGGGATTTTTTTCTGTTCACCTGGCAAGCAGGATTCTCTTTGTATATCTCAGTTCCTGGAGTGCTAAAGGGGAACTTGCATTAAACGTTCCAACTGGGAGCATTATTTTAGCCTTGCTTACATTGGCCAGGCTGAGGGTGGGGCATATATACTAGCCTTCATATATATCCAACTTGATGCCTTTCAGATGTGTTTGACTACAATGCCCATGTTGGCTAAGGATGGTGGGAGTCTCTCTTCTCTGGAGAGAACCAGGCAAAGGAGGTTAGGGGCTTGGGACAAACATGTCTTTAGGCCAGGGATGGGCACCTTGTGGCCCTCCAGTTGTTTTGGCCTATAACTCCCATCATCCTTCCAATTGGCTATGCTGGCTAAGGCTGATGGGCATTGCAGGCCAAAACATTTGGAAAGCCATAAATTGCCCACCTCTGCCTTAAGTAAAACCATAGCCAGCAGCTTTCGGCCAGACTGGCCATTGTCCCGATTCTGTGTGTGCAGGCTTTAATATACACATAACTGCATCACTTTGGATCGTATATTTCAGGGACACAGCAAGTGCTAGATGTGAAGTGTACCAATATGACATTTGAGTTGCAGGACTAGAGAGCCAAAGCTGCAAAAGTAAGCAAGGCAAAACATCTGGACACCATAAAAGCATAGATGACTTGGGAAAACCATCCTAAAATAGGGGTTGGAAATGATGGAACTTAAATAGTTAGAAACACTGTGAAGGGGTTCACATAATTGATTTTTTTCTTTTCTTGAGAGAATACCCTCCCATTACATAGGTAGCATGGCACCTCTGTCTTAGGAACCTATGACATCGTTAGTCTGAACAATCTGAGAACTGGTGGTGGTGGTGGTGAGCTTCAGCGCTAGACTCCTTACTCTGCTTTGAAATGGCATCATATGGTTGAAATCAGCCTGCCAATGAGTGGGGCCTTCCTTCTTCCGTTCATTTCCATGTGTGTTTCTCATCCCTGCCTCTTCCCTTTATGTTTGACCCAATTCCTGAGCATTGCTAACTGCTCCCTACAGAGGTACATTTGGGCCTGATCTCTTTGCTGATGTGGGGCTGCCACACTCAGCCATAATATAAACCTTTGACTTAGATTCTGTTGCTCCTGTTCTCCCAGTATCCCAAGAGGAAGTTCTGCCAGAGCTCTCTAGCCCAGGTGATGCAGATAAGCATCTTGGCCAGAAACCAGAGCTAGGCATGCTGCCATAGCTGGGCATGCTGCTCACCGTCTGACAGCTCCAGTAGATCAGGTATCACCTGTCTGACCTTGGGAGCAGGTAACTGCTCTCTCTCTCTCTCATTCTCTCTCTCTCTCTCTCTCTCTCTCTCTCTCTCTCTCTCTCTCATTCTCTCTCTCATTCTCTCTCTCTCTCTCTATCTGTGTCACTGTCCAGTTGTCAGACATGTGATCGTGTTGAGCAAGCCAGGTGAGTCAAGAGACATTCAGGCAGATAGGACAAAATGTAGCCCTCTTTCAAAGGAAGGTCATTTTTTTTGTATTTATTTTTCATTGTGCAATACAAAAAAAACCAAACCACACCATTACAAAAGACAAGTGGCAATATTTGCATAGTACTAAGAAATAGTTCCATAGCACCAGTTACATTTATATTGTGCGTTTATTTATTATTTGATCTTGTATACCTATATGTTAGTATGTAGCAGAGCATACTGTTGTTATTAAGAATAATTACACATATACTTGGACAAAGGCACCCCAAATATCCATATATTGATCTGTTTGTAAGTTATGCTAGAGACCTCCTGTTCAAAAATAGTTTCACTTACCCCATGCGCTGTGTTATTCCAGTTGGCCATTTGTGCTAAAGAAGTCTATTTTTGATTGTATTTCGATGCCTGAGATTGAGATAATCTCAATTTGTGATGCATCTCAGCTTTCCATTGAGAATTACCCTTTTCTCTGGAGAGTTCTGATTTAGCTAATGATTTCGGTGCCAGAAGAGCTCACCACAACAGAGCAGTTCTTCGAAGATGGGTGCAGTTTTATAGAAGTTCTGCCATTAACACCAGCATGCTGTCCGCAATCTGTGAACTGATGCTGGGAGATCTGACTTTTGCTTTTCAATATAACACCAGAAAAATGTCTGGCATTTTTGCTGCTGGTAATTGCTCAAGCTCCGCTTCCTTCTTCCCAATGTGAGTGTGTTGTCCATGGAGCTATGCGTGTGTTGGGGGATTTCCAGTCATCTGATTGTCTAAAATAATGCAATCCTTGTTTTTCCAGGTTTTTAAGGAGTGTGTTATGAATAGGAAAGTTCCTTCTGATTGTGGACTGGGAGGTGCTTTTAGTTGGCATGTCAGTTTTGGATTCCTGTAAGTTCGCATCCCATTCCAGTTCCCTTACTGAAACTATGTCAAGAATTTGTATTTTTTTAAAAAAGGAAACAAAAGAAATACAAACTGGAAGGAAAGTCCAGAAAGAACTAACCATATGATATAATTTCTATACAATTGCAGAACTCCCATAATGTGGAGGCCTGCTTCTTCTTTTTAAAGCTGCACTACATATTTCTGAAAAACGCTTACAATTTTGCAGGCAGATGGCATAATATCAAGAGTATTTCAGCCATAGCATCAGGTCTTTGTTGTAACACAGAAAGTAGCAGTGGTGCTTGTGGGTGAAGTAAGTGGGCACAATCCAGAGGGAGCCCCATCCTTTCCTTATCTTCCAGCCACCATTTCTGCAATGCAAGAGAGGGACTGTGCCATCTTTCAGAGGTCTCCTCCTAAGGCAGAAGTTCTGTTTCTGGGGTATTCTGAACCTTGTCAGCATGGCTGCACCATGGATTGTGTCAGCTGGGAAGCTGCAGGCATTCCTTGGCTAGTTAAAAATGTTTTAATAAATAAATAAATAGTACTTGAGATTCGTGGTATGCCACACAAGACATGCCCACCCTGTAGCCTGTGCTACTTGATACTCTGTCGTCCTCTTTCTCTGTGCTGACAGGCTGCTTATGCACTAGAGTGTGCCAGAAAAAGCACTGTATAAATAAATAAAAATAAGAACAAAGGCCAGGCAGGTTCCAGGCAGTGAGTGAAACAAGTAGTGGGACTTTCCCCAGCCCTAAATATTTTTTTGGCGGGTTTTGAAGGCTTTTTTGTTTTTTATTTTTTAAGTTGGGACTTGAGTGGCTACCCCCATCCTCCCCTCTCTTCTCAGTTCTTGGTGCTGGCATCACTTTCTCTAGCTCTGCTGTTTGGATGGATGTAGGTGAGGAGAAATTCAGGACAGAGTCTGTCCCCGTAGGCTTCACTCCTCTTGCAGAAGCAGCAGTACAACTTCAGGAAAAAGGTGCTCAGGGAAGGATTACCTAGGGAGCCATTCCACCTTATACCTTAAAGAGTGGCTTTACTTATTCTCCTTGTCCAACAAGAGAGCGCTGCCCACCCTTCACCCTAACCCTAGCCCTCCACTAGCCCAAGGGTGGACAACTTGTTGCCCTCCCAATTTCTTGGCCTATTGGCTTTGCTGCCTAGGGCTGATAGGAATTGTAGGCAAAACATCTGGAAGTCTACAAAATGCCCACCATTGCATTCAACCCATTACAAGTTTTATCCTGCTTTAGCACTACTGGAATTGCTACCTGCACATAAATTTGCTTTTTGGTTGTCCTCAGATAAAGCATTCATTCATTTATTTATTTATAGTTTTTCTATGTCATCCATTACTAAAAAAGTCTCGGGATGGCTTACAAGGAGCAAGGAGCACAGACTCGTGAAATCTATGATAATTTAATAAACATTTAATCCCCTTGAATTCAGTGGAATTTAAGCTTGTGCAACTCTGGACTGTGCCCAGTGTCAAAATCTCTCCCAGTCATTTTAGTCCTGTTACTTTAAAGAAGTGGCTAAAAGCTTGTGGATGGTTGTTCATAAAACTATGTGCAAGGTTGCAGTCTATGAATATGCAGCTGTTCAGTTTTCTCATGAGATGGATGTTTGTTCCACTAATTATTACCTAGAATCTAAATCTCTTATTTTCCCTCTTTAAGCAGCTTTGGACTTTTATCTTGCATTTTGTTTTTTGCTTGCCAATTATAGGTAGAGGAAGGAGAAGGGGACGGACAGCAATGGAGTATATGAGCACTGACAGTGACCAGAAAGAGGAGATTGACTTACTGCTAACAGACTTAAATGTGTCTGATGTGATCGACATCATGGATAAGCTTTACCCGAATGGAGACCTGGACGTTTATGAAGATGGCCTCCTCACACTGCACCCGGAGAAGAACAAAAACAAGGAACGTGCAGACTCCTTGCTGTTCAACAGGAGAGAGGTGTCCTTGTTGTCGTCCGTCAAGTATGGGACCGTGGAAGACTTGCTTGTGTTCGTGAATCAGGTGTCCAACATGGCAAAGCAGTTTTGCCGGCCCAGAAGACAAGAGTCCGGGATCCTATTAAATATGGTATGCTGTTTCCCTGAAATGCTGGCTGTGGTCATGCATGTGCTTATTTGAGTTGGAGCACTCCTGCAAGCCGTGGGATTTGCTAATCAATACGCTGGCTTAAAGGTGGCGGCCTGGAGAGCTGGGGCCAGCCAAGCTGGGCCACACTGGTTCATGGATTTGTTGATGTTCCTTCCCTGCTTGAAACTAGCCCATCCCATGGACGGGGGCGGGGGGGGGGGGAGTGCTTGTTTTCCCTGCCCACTCACCCTGCTTCTGGCTTCCCACAATGGTCAGATACAGCCTGCGTGCTTAAATTCCAATATTGGCAGACGAAACTCACAGGGATGTGGGAAGTTGCCTGATACTCAGTCCATCTTGCTCAGTGTGGACTGGCAGAGACCCGCCAGGGTCTCCATCAGGGTCTGTCCTTGCTCTGTCTGTAAATGGCAAGGACTGAGTCTGGGAACATTTGCGTGTGAAGCAAAAGCTGTACCACTGAGCTGTAGCTCCTCTCTGGATTTGGTGAGCTACTGGAAATTCCTGAGGAAAGCGATGGCACAATTTTAACTGTATGTGGCCCTTTCAAGGACCTCAGTCCAGCGGTAATTTCCCCCACCCTTGCCAGCATTTCCAGTGTCTGCCTGTTCAGCCTGTATCAAGGAGCGGCGTTATAACAAATAACTAAGGGTGCAGAAGTAGGGCTTTTTCTGCCTAAACATACATAGGATTGTACCATAAGAGGAATCCAGTTTTCAGAGGAACAGCTGAACTAATCTGTGCAGCAAGAAGAACAAAGATCCCCATGGCCCCTGCTAGAGGAACACATTTGTTCTGGCATAAGCTTTCGTGGACAGAGCCGCCGTGGGACGCTCTGTTGTTTCTTGAGAGAGAGAGAATTCGTGAGTTGCCCATGCCTGAGCTGGATTTCTCAGCAGTCTGGGGAATCTTGTGCTCCCGTTCTTGGATCCAGTTGAGGACGGTACAGCTATAGGCCAAACTCTCTGAATCTTGTGGGTTAAATCTGCATGCTGAAGATGGGCAGATATCATTGGCCATTGAAGGCATGCTTTGCAAAGCTGCTGGGAGAAGAGCAGTGCAAGGCAGTTTTTGGGCCTGGACTGGCACTGCTGGCCGCCCTGTTCCGGAACCTGGGAGCAGATTCTTCAGTGTGGTGGTTAGTATGCAATGTGCCTTTGCAATAGAGAAGGCTTTGAGTATAATGCCATTGATTCAGCACAGCCTTCCTCAAGTTGATGCCCTGCAGATGTGTGGGACTGCAACTCCCATAACACAGAGCTAGCATGGCCAGTGCTGGCGGCGGGTGACGGGAGTTGTAGGCCAACACCAGATCAGGGAAAGCTGAATTAACAAATGTGAGGCACAGATGAACCCAGAAAGCAACCTTGATCACACCAGGTGGGGAGTGTCTTTTTCCTGCGATGTGCTAATGACCCACAAAAAATCAAGCAAAGGCTGCAGCTGGTGGTGGAGCCAAGTCTGACTCTGAGCGTGTCCGGAGGCAAAAGTTGGCTGAATTCAGGTCAGGGATAGTGTAGCTGCCACCCACCACGATATGTCACATGAAACGAGGCTGAGAGCCTCATGCGGCCCCAGGTCATCGGCTCTCTCCAAGGGGTTGAGTAAGAAACAGCATCACTGCTAAATGTAGAGCTCCAAAGTAAGGCCAGGACAGTGTTAAAGCACTGGATGCTTGGCTTTAGGTGCATGACCAGGGCTAACCCACCTGGTACTGAAAATGCATGGCACAGACCAGCCATTCTGAATTAAATGCTATCTTTTTTTAAAAAAAATGGAAGGTGGGATCCCCAAAATGTTGGTGATATGCACAGGCATGAAGTAAAAGGTCGGAGAAGCAAGACCCACAGGCAGCATGTTGCCACGCCTGAGGACAACCATGGCCTTCCTTGCAGTTGCCACCACTGGCCCAATTTTCTGGGGTCACAAAGAGTTACCGCTTTGGCTCAGTGAAGACACCTTTCCAAGCTGTGCTTTGCATAGACTGTAGCTTGGAGCCCAGACCATAGTTGGAGTTTCATGGAAGCCAGCGCTGGTGCTCCTTGGCTTTCTCTTGTTTCAGTTTGGCAAGGACTCCTTGTCTCCAGACACAGCCACCGCTGGAGCTTGGTCAATTCAGAAACCACATTAACACAAACCATGGTTTGCACACCCATTAAACCATGTTTGCTAATTCTCTGCGATCACAATGTGGCAATGCAGCCTTTGCTCTAAAGTATAATTAATTCCCTTAGTTTGGGGTGGTGTAGGCTGAAGTGTGCCCTTCCCTTTTGATTTGTGCTGTTAGTGTTGTCACTGTTCGTGTTGTTAATTGGGTGTGTCTGTTGTTTTCTTTAGTTCTCTGGGTCACACATGGCCATAACTATTTATATTGGGCACAGTCCAGTTCTGTTCAGAAAGACTTTTAATCCAGTGGGCACCCTTGCTAATGGAACAGGGAGATTTCTCTTTCCAGTTCTGAAAATCCAGCTTATAGGGATCGGGGCCCACCAGTGCAGCATGGAAAATGGAACGGGAGGGTGGATGGGTGGTGGGCAGCAGAAAGGTGAACAGAAATTTGCCTTCTCTCTTCTTCTGTAAGCAGAAGCCTCTGCTCGATATTTCTGATGAAGTTTGCCATAGCCGGAAAAGTTTATGCCATAACAAATGTGTTCATTTTCAAGGGGCCGCAAAATTCTCTGTTGTTTTTGCGAAGTCCAAGCCCTTCTGCAAAGGGAGAGTCTCTTGCTTTTTGTGGAAGGGCACTGCCGGATGCAGCCCATACAAATGTGCAGTTCCATGCATGTGTACACAGAAAAAGATCTTCCAATTTCAAGAATCCTGAGAGTTTTAGATTTTTTTCTCTCTGAACTTGCACAGAATTTTGCTCTAATTCACTTTTTAGAAAAGAAAACACCTGCCTAATTAGCGGATGGTCGTGGTGGTTCTGTTTAGCTGATGCAAAGATTTTTAAATTGTTAACTAATCCAACCATTGACTAGTCCTGGTAGTCTTATTTTCACCCTTCAGGAATTCTGAACTTTTCCTTGTGTGAAGGGATTTGTTTGAAGGATCTATCCTCAGGGTTTTGGCCTTTTGTTGTTTCAATCTGCAATTCAATCCTTTATTGGAGTAGGTGATGTAATGAGATTGTCTATCTCTCTGCTGATCTGCTCAGTCTATTTTGGAGAAATTGCTTCTTTACCCACCCACTCACCCACTTTTCCCCTGCACAAGCTCTGATGGAAAGAAATGTTGAAACAGACTGTTTACCTTTAGTGAAGCAACCGGCCAGCAGGTTCCAGGAATGAAGGAGCAAGCTACCAGGTGGACTCATTACGCAAATGCTCCGTATTAGTCTATCCACCAAGCTGTTGTTGCCAGACAATTATGTGCCACTTATGCAGGAAAGCAGTCAAATCACAGCCTGGAATTGTAAATATTTCCAGGGTGAACTGAACGCATTGCTCCACACGCTGTTCCCATCTGATCGTTCTATATAAAGACTGCTCCTTGGGTCATGGGGCTTCTTTGAATTGAGAAAAAAAGGCTCAGGCAAAGTGAAGTTCTGTTATGGGAAGGCCATATCTTGATGGAAGAGTGCATGAACATAGAAGGCCAGTACGAGAGTAGATGGCATTCAGCTAGACAAGCCAATAGTCTAATTCAGGCTGTATCTACATACCCAGTTAATTGACTATTCTATCCGAGTACAAGTTGCTGGTTAAAAATGGACTTGTTATCATTTCACCCCATCTTAATTTTTTAAACATAGATCAATCCCAAAAATGGACGCTATCGGATTGACTCAGACGTGCTCCTGTTCCCATGGAAGCTCGCCTACCAAAATATTGGGACTGACTTCATTCCACGAGGAGCATTCGGGAAAGTCTACTTGGCCCAAGACACTGAAACCAAAAAGCGGATGGCTTGCAAACTGGTATGGATTTCCTTTCTCGGTCTCTTTTATGTTGGGGCCACGCCAGGGTTCACTAGGCTTATTCTCTGCCTCATGCAGCTGAACTGCCACAGGAGGTAGCGATGGCCACCGACCTGGACAGCTTCAGAAGGGCGTTCAGCAAATCCCTGGGGGACTGGGCTGCCGAGGGCGACTAGTCCTGATGGCTCAGTGCTACCTCCCGGATCAGAGGGCTGTTCCTTCTCAAGACCAGTGCCCTGTTGCCCCATGTCCTGCTTGGGGGCTTCCCAAGGAACACAGAGTGGGACTAGGTGGGTCTGATCCAGCACGGCCCTTCTTCTGGTACCAGCGCAATAAACACTGGGCCTGTTGTTTTGTTGCCTTTGCGAGGGAGGAAAGTGCAGTCTAAATGTAGTTTCTCCAGCAGCCACATGGTGAATGCAAATACATGCCTTGAACTCTACCTGAGCAGCTTCTGTCTCGTTCTTGTTCTGGCTGCATTCTTAAATCTGCCAACATTTGGTTCCTCTAGGTGCCAGTGGAGCAGTTTAAGCCATCAGATGTTGAAATCCAGGCCTGCTTTCGCCATGAAAATATTGCTGAGCTGTATGGGGTCATCTTGTGGGATGAGACGATCCACCTATTCATGGAGGCTGGAGAAGGAGGCTCGGTCCTGGAGAAGGTGGAAAGCTGTGGGCCCATGAGAGAATTTGAGATCATCTGGGTGACGAAGCATATCCTCAAAGGCCTTGAATTTCTTCACTCCAAGGGCGTTATACATCAGGATATAAAACGTAGGTTTGCCTTTTTGGAGGACCTGGCCTTCCCATAAAGCCACTAGCACTGCATGGTGTCAAAAGCCTCTGGTTTAGAGCTTGTCCTTAAGTTGGTGTCTTATAAACTGTCCAAGAGAATCCTGGGGCTCCTTCAGAGATTTTCCTTGTTTATGATGACACACTCTCTGTCCCTTTGGATCTGCAAGGTCCATTCGTGCAGCAGTAACATGACACGGTTAAAAACCTAATAAAAGAGCAATGTCATAAAAATGACAGCAGTGTAAAGTATGTCAAAGCCAAGCAGGGCAAGGGGTGATTATCCGTAGCCCCTACAATTTTATGTAATGGCAAAGTCTTAACCAGCTATCATTAGTAAAGTTGCCCAATGAATCTTCATATGAAGGGAGCATAACAGTAAGTGCCCTGTCTTGTTTAGGCTGCCTTGATAAACTAAGTGGTAGGAAATAAAGATACATATCTGTTAAATAAGCAAAAGAATGACCTGGTCAACATGTAATAACAACCCAGAGTATGAGTTGTTGAATCTTGGGTTGTCATTATATCTGAACTCTATGGTTAACTGTGGGCTAGCTGGGGGTTGTTAATCACGAACAACTCAGGGGGATAACCTATCGTTTGTTGTAGTGTTGGAGATTCTGGTTTGCTAATTTTTAACAACCCATAGTTCAAACATACGGCAGGGTTTGCATGCGGTGAGAGTCAGTCCCATGCTGTGTTCTGTGGTGCGAGTTCCCGAGAGCTCATTTGTCCCCTTTTGTTTCTAGCAAGCAACATTGTTTTCATGTCAACCAAAGCAGTTCTGGTGGATTTTGGTTTAAGCGTTCAAACCACGGAGGATATTTACTATCCCAAAGAGCTCCGAGGAACAGAGGTAAGGAATCCATGTGAGAAGCAAACCTGGCTGCCCTTTCACTTACACCCTTGTAGTTATGAATAAATGAGGAAGAACTGATTGGGGAAGGCCCAGTTCAGTGAGCAGATCTGCTGTGATCTCCCATGCATTGCTATGGTGAACTTCCCCAGTGGATTGGATACCCCTTTTCTCTTTGATAAGGAAAACAAGTTTGAGTTGGACGATCAGACATTGAGTAGAGTCACTGTTGTTTGGGATGGTACAGAAATGAGACTTCTGTTTAGTTACGTGACATCCCTCTCCTCAAAATTTTGCAATCTAATTTGAAGGCTGCCATGTTGGTCTAGAATTATTACATTTCCGTACCACGTGTAGTCAAAGCTTGTCTGGGCAGTTCAGAGCATTCGGGTCACCCATCCAGATTTCAGCCAGGCCGAACCCTGCTTAGCTTCCAAGATGAGGCAAGGTCAGGCTGCCAAGACACCTCTGCTCTGCAAATGTAGGGGCGTTTCAGATGTAATGCAGGCCATGCTTTGGCACTATATGAATGAGACAAGGAGAATTTTTCGTGAGTGAAAGCTTTTTAATTGCGCAAGCCATCCCAGAATGCATTGCATTGCAGCAGTGGGTGATCCCTTGCTGCTCATTTCCCGCTCAGCTACTGTGAGGGCTGCAGCCAAGCTCGGAGAGAACAGGGAAGTCTGGGTGGGGAGGCACTGATGTCAGCATTCCTGCCGACACAAGGATGCTGGTGCGGCATCCCTTGGAGGCCTGGCTGCACTGCACCACTTGGCAAGCCGTTGGGCTCCCTCTTCCCCATGTCTCTTTCCAGTGCCCTCTTTTGTACAGCAAGCCCTGGTTGGCCTTGATGATGGCAGGGGACTCATCTCCCCTCTGGATTCCCTTTGCAGATTTACATGAGTCCAGAAGTGATCCTCTGCCGGGGCCACACCACAAAGGCTGACATCTATAGCCTGGGAACAACCATCATTCACATGCAGACGGGCGTCCCGCCATGGGTGAATCGCTATCCTCGCACGGCATACCCTTCCTACCTGTATATCGTAAGTATAGATGTGTGTTGGTTGGTTGGTTGGTCTCCCCCCTGCCCCCCCCCCACACACACAGACAGAAAAAGAGAGAGGGTCTTTGGATTCAGCCAAAGTCTAAATCCACAGGGCCAGTTCAGACAGCTCTAACAAGAGTTAGGGTTGTCTGAATTAAAGCAAGGCTCCCTGCCATTCCTTAGTTTAGTTTGCTTCAAGTAAAAAAAAAATACCTGGGAGGTTGCCATCCTGGAAGAGAGCGGTTTTATGTTCGGGAGCTCCAGCCCCATCTCTGCCTTGTGCTTAAGATCTGGAGCAGGTTACTTTTCTCTCTGTCTCGCCAGTCTGCTTTCTGGGGAATGAAGAATTTTGCCGCTGGCTGTGAGAGGGCCCACATCACTCCCACCAGGCCAATGTGCCCATCAAGCCCAAGCGTTAGAGCCTGTAACCTGGGCCTCCCTGCGCCTGCTTAGCAGATGGGGAATTTCAGTTATGCTCCCTCTCCTACAACTACAGCTCTTCTGAAAATGAAGCCCCACAACCGGCCTCGCCCAGCATGTGTCTGGGAGGAGTCGCATGGGCATTTAGGACAGCATTTGGCTCTGTGAGCCCCCAGTTGCAGTCTGGACTGGTGCAGCCCAGACTCAGACTGAGCTGCTCCATGGGGAGAAAGCCTCGTCCATGTTGGTCTGTCAAGGAAACTGCGTTGCTGGTGCTTTGATCTAATGAACTGCCATGAGACTGAGGAAATATGAGCAAGAAGGGAGACTGATGACGTTTGTTTATCTCTGGTCTGAGAGGGAGAGGGTGGAAAGTGCAAGCTGTGAAGTTCACAGGCCGGATGTGAACTTCGGAAAAAGGATCTGGCCACGCGGGAATGAGCTCAAATGCCAGCCCCTTTCCAAGATCATGAGCTTTGCAAACCGCAGCTGGGAAGGGGGGAATCTCATGAGCATAGCTCATTAAAAAGCAATCTTCCTCTCCCTTGAAAGAATTCTTCCTATACAGTAGCACAAATGGAGCACTGAAAAGAATTAAATCTTGTGCAGACTTCTTTCAAGGAGATCAGGTATCCGTCTGGTGTGAGCCTGAGGTGTAAAGCCGCTGCTTGAAGCGTGCTGGCAGCCTGGGAGTTTGTGGGGACTGTGTCACGTCAGTCCGCTATTACTCACGCAGTGCCAGTCAGCGCTCCTTTTGTGGCCCCACACCGGATCACCCTCTGCCAGTTACTCTGTGTTCCTTTGCCTGAATGACGGAGCTAGGGCTGCAAGGCCTCAGCATGAACTTGAAAGCTGGTTTTTGGGTTCCTTGTTTCCGCACAAAACTGGCTTCTTGTCGTGGAAGAGTGGCAGTTTTCCAAAGCATGGGTTGAGGCAAGGAAATTCCTAGGGCGGTGTCTTTACAAAACCCAAATGTCAAAACACCCCCTACCCTTCACACACACACACACACACACACACACACACCATCTCTCAGAGCTCCTCCTTTTGCTCTTGGTTAGCATTGCATTAAAAGCTCCTTCTTTTGATTCTTCGAGCAGATCCATAAGCAAGCCCCACCCCTGGAGGACATTGCTGAAGACTGCAGCAGCAGCATGAGAAAGTTCCTGGAAGCTGCCCTGGAAAGGAACCTGAATCAGAGGCCCTCGGCCACGGAGCTGCTGAAGCATGAGGCTTTGCACCCGCCGAGGGAGGAGCAACCTCGATGCCAGAGCTTGGATTCAGCCCTCTTTGAAAGGAAAAGGCTGCTGAGCCAGAAGGAGCTGGAACTGCCTGAGAACATTGCTGGTATGACACGAGCTGTCCTAGCGCACGCCTTTTCCAGGCAGCTTCTGTGCTTATGAGCAGGTTGAGGTTTATGGCGGGGCTGCAGGCGCTTAAGCTCAGGCTGCAGATGGTCAGCTCCAGGCCTGCCTGCAATTGTGGTGCGGCCCTACAGGAGTCCTGATGCGGCCCATGCCCACTCCTCAAGCACCGGCCATCTGGCTTCAGGGCAGGTTCCCCCCGCTCCAGTTCTAAAAGGTTCACCTGCCTTTCCTACAGCTCGGTTACTGGCAGTGAGAGAATTAAACAAGACACGTTGGTATTTTTGGCCATGGCCCTTCCCACTGCTGGAATGCTTTTCGGCAATGGAATTTGGCCCTTGGGCTGAAAGAGGTTCCCCACCCCAGTTGAAGGACTGAGACGTGCTGGTTTCAGAGACTTAACAGGACAAGGCAGGCATCCCACAAGCTTTCAACAGGATGAGGATTTAGCCTCATTTCTGTAATTCCTGTAAAATCAGTTCAATGTCAAGCTCAGAGAGTCATCCAGGAAGTTCTTCAAAAGTATTTTAGAGATTCCAGAGTTGTGAAAGACATTTTCATCAGTATCTGCAACATTAGTTCTTGTTGTTGTTGTTGTTATTTTAAGCGACACATTGAGAGAAAACAACAACAGTACACATCAGCGTTAAAACAACACTGTGCCATGCGTGCCTTTTTAAATGAAGCAATTCTTAAAAAAAAAAAAAAAAAGTGAGCCAAAGCAGAGGGTTAGTTGCAGTCAGGCTTGCACACAGCAATAGGCACATTTCCCAAAATTCGATCTGACAGAGGAGAAGTTTCCCATTTGCATCACGTTGCTGCCCTCCTCTGAGGCAGCTGCTAAGAAGAAGTGGCAGCATCCAGGCACTTTAACGGTGCAGCCCTGCACGTGTTTCTTTGGAAATGAGCCCCAGCTGTGTCCAGTGGGCTTCCTCCCGTAACAAGTGTCTCCCAGGTTGCAGCCACTTCTCTTATGGCCAGTGATCTAGTGGTGCAACTGCCTTTTGCCCACTTCTCTCCACCTTGCAGCACGAGTTTGTGGAGGACTGGAGTAGCTGGTGGGCACTCCTGCCTGCCTCTGCCTCTACCATCTGCTCACTGCTCTCGTGTTCAGCAGACGAAAAGCAAAACTGCCTCAAGATACAGAGGACCTGTACATGTGCAGCAGAGCCCGTAGGAGCACCATGGTGCCATGCTGGGTCCTTGACTGATAGAATGCTTGCAGGAAAGTTGGCCGCCATGGAGAGACTGTGCTGCTAGACAGCCCTCCCAGGGGGTGGTTCGATTCTATTTAGTAGAGGGTTGAACCCGTTGGCTTTCTGGGCCCCTTGCAACTCTGCTGTTCTGTGGGTCTGTGACTTACAGAACAAAAGCATCCTCAATGTAATTGTTTCTGCCAAGGAACTAAGGGGAGAACACAACAAGAACCCTGCTCTTCTCTGGAGGCCTCTGGAGTGCAGCATCCCATTTCCCCCAGAGGCTGGCCAGATACCCAGAGGAAGCCCACCAGTGCCCCTCCTTCTCTTGTTCCCCCGTCATGCTGCTGCTGATCCTGGAGGTGGTTCAGAGCCATCAGGACTTCTGGCCATTGGTAGCTTCAGTCTCCGTGACGTTTGTCTAATTCCCCTTTAAAGCCAAGCTGGTGGCACATCCTGTAGTACCAAGTCCTGCACTTGATGTGCTGCGTGAAAAAAACACTGAGTCTTCTCTTGCCACTCAGAATCATGGGATGACTCCAGGTTCTGGTATGATGAGATAGGGGAACAAAACTTCCCTATGCACATTTTCCACATCATGCATAATTTGGTTCACGTCTACCATGGCCCTTCTTCCTTGCCATATTTTCCAAACTAAATTTGCCTCTTTCCTAAACTAAATAGGCCCAAGGTTGTAACTTTTCCTCAGAGAGAAATTTTCTGAACCTTTTCCAGCTCTGCAATATCCTTTCTGAGCTGCAGCACCCAGAATTATACAGTGTTAGGAGTGGTCAGAGCCATAAACACTCACTGTGCTTCATCTTTCCTGAGCAAATTTTGCCTGTTTTATTGTAAAGGATCGTAACTTATCGTCATGAATGGAGAGAAGCCAAGTTAGTAAACTTAAGCTAGAGTGGAACAAAAATAAGTCATAGTCAATTGATCTAAAACAAGTCTTATAACATGGTCTCTTTTCTTTTCAAATATTTCATTATCAGATTCTTCAAGTCTTGGGATTACTGAAGAATCAGAACTGCTAAAGAGACAGCGATCACTGTACATAGATCTTGGAGCATTAGCTGGCTACTTTAACCTTGTATGAGAACCAACAACATTTGATTATGAATAAATCTGAGAATCTCCAGTGATGGACAGAAGGAGATCTTTTCTCTTGTACAGCTTTGTTAAAGAAGAAGAAAAAGATGAAGAAAAAGAGTGCAATGCTTTTTATCACTAGAAGGATTTTATAAAGCTAAGCCTTTGGGGAGTGCTGACTAATTACCACTAACGAGCAAACAAAACAACGGAAAGTTACTTGTTCTGGGGAAAATATTGCTTCTTGGCATCTGATAAGTACGCATCTTTTGAATGCATACAGCATGTTGTATTCTAGTCAGTCCTGCATAGAGGAGAACTGTTCAGCAAAGAACAACAACCCAGAGTGTGGACTGAGTAAGGATTGTTGTTAAACCATGGGCTCTCATTATGTTACAATCCTCGTACTATGGTTTAACTGGAACAGAACAGATAATTGTTGGATTGTTTGCAGTTAACAACCTATGGTTAAGTCATGGTGCAGAGTTCACACATAATGACAACCCACAATTCACCCACCAACCTATATTCTAACCATACTCTTGATTGTCAGTATATGCAAACCAGGTCACGGGAATGAATGAGACTTAAGTTAGATTAAAATTGTGTATAAATAGGCACATGCCAGTCCATATATAAGAAAGCAATATGCATTAAAAATAGAGACCTGGTTGGTGGGTCAGAATAGGTAAGTTAAGGATATGTCTGGATCTCCCCCCAGCCCGTGCTGGCTTGGTGAACTTTTCTAATTGAGATTTATTAAAGTGCGTAATAGATCAGTTCTGTGGTTGCTTGGTAACAGAGAGCAAGCTTCATAGCTATGTGGCTTTCGGTAGAGACGCCCTGACTTCTCTCCACTCAGAAAATCTGGTTTGTAGCATTAGGTTGCCTTTGCAAAGTAGGACTGAGGCTAGTTGGAATGCAGACTCTCCTCTGTCCACTCTCATCTGGCCCTCCTCATCCTGCATATTTTTGCTTCAACCAAGAGCCACAGACAGGAGGTTCTCTAGTCCTCCACACCCAGCCTCCCACTTGCTCCTATTAATTGCTTGTTTTCGACGCCAGGGAAGGCAGCTCACTGTTGCTTCAATCTTTTTTCGGAACCTCCTTTAGGTTCCTTACCATACTTCTCAGGCTTTCTTGATGCTATTTCATTGCGCTCACTGGGTCCTTTGGGCTTGGACACATTGTGAGTTGCTTTGTTGGCCCAAGCTCATGTGGGGAGGCTCAGAGCTGATGTTTTTTTCTTGACCCAAGTTGGAATGCTAGGACAGCATTTGCAAATGCTGCTATGTAAGGCTTCTGGCTCACATCAAAGTCCTGAATATCTTTTACCAGCTGACTGACTCTGGTGGCTTTTGAACAGATTCTTAGAATCAGCCATCAGTCTGTTGAGCATATGAAAGGTTTTTATGACTTAGGCTGCTATGGAGAAAGTGCTGGAACTGGCGTCCTAGAGTTGGCCATCTTGGGTGAAGTTTTCTGGAATGTTCTCAAAGCTCATCAACATGGATGGCAGTTGTGCAAGAGCATGGAATATGCTCTGGCATATCAACTGAAATGGTTTTTAGATCACAAAGAAATAGTAATTGCAAATGTAAGGCATTTGGAGTATGTTAGTAGAAGAATATTGCACAATATTCAGAGACTGATGCCAGTTCTGAAGATGGGTTAATTTATGACAGTGGGACTCCATGTTTTAAGAAGAAAAACATGTGTTTGAATGTCATGAATTATAAATTAATATAAGTTCCTATGGAAAAAAGACATCCTTTGCTGTTGAAGATACTGAATATATTTAAAACACTTTGTTTTGGATGGCAGTAAAATTGTTTCAAGAACATCTTTTGTTACATCCCATGGGATGAATCTGTAAACTTTTATAAAACAATCCAGTACTGTTTTAATCACTGTTGTGTTTTTAAAGTAGCATACTATGTATGTTGTAAATAGAATTCTTCATAAAGTGACAATGCTTTTGTATATATTTGTTTAACAATATATTTGTATTATTTTCTTCCGGTCCTGATTCTATTAGAAAGCAATCAAATATTTGAAATAATAAATCCAGGAGTTTCTTCTAAGCATTTATTCGCTCATTTCTTCTCTTTTGTGAGGCTCCGTGTGTGTGTGTGTGTGGCCTGTGTACATTGAATTTGTGGGTGTGTAAGTTGCATTGAGGAGTTGGATGAAAGTGATATGAAACTATTTGGACTATCCCGTATTTCTCATGGGGCTGCAGACTTAGTCATGTGTGCGATCAATCCACTGGAATAATTTGTGACTAACTTGTTCCATGGATTCCAATAAACTGACTCTTAGCATAAATAAATCTGTATCCGCCCCTTTGTCAATTACTCTTGTGCATTTCAAAGCAGATGGAGGAGATTGATGGCCATTGATTTCATAGAATAGTTGAGTGGGAAGGGGCCACAGGCTCCAACCTCCTGCTTAATACAAGACTCCAGGATGTCTGTTATTGGACTGTGACATTCGAACACTGATTATCTCAGTGATCGGTGTGCTCATGAGCAAGGACACCTGGGCTGATGCTCGACACAGGTACTCTCTTTCAGGGGTGCACTGGAGAAGGAACTGGATGTATTGAAGCTCTCCAGTTGATTTGCCATAGTTTGGTAAAGGATTCTGACTGCCAACTGCCAACAATTGGAGCAAAAAGAAGACTTCCCTTACTGGAAATTGCTGAAATGAGGAAAGACTGGAATAACCAGGAGTGGATTCTTGTGTGGAAGGACTATGAATTCCATTCAGTTCAGTCACCCAGAACAAATTCCTGGGCTCATAATCTTTTAATTCTATGTCTTTTACAAGAAGCTCTGGTTGGTGGACCTCAGAGGTTTGTTAAAATAACAAAGCAGATCCCTCGAGCCTAAAGTCTGCCCCTCAGTCCTGTTTCAAGAGAACATTTACACTGGTTAGTGACCATGCTCTGGATTTCAACATTATCTATCTGCTGATGTAACAAAGTACACACAGTGATTGCCAGTGACTGCCAGAATCTGGCTCTGTTTTGCAGGAACAGCACCCAAACTCTTGCTGGTTTTACCCTTGGGGTATGCAAGCCCCTTAACGGGGAGGCTTATAAGCATCTAGGGAAGGCGTGAGAGCTGGTTGCCCCCTCCATCACTGTGCTCCGCATATTCTCTAGATGAGCTTTTCTGCCCATCCATCTGGAGGGTCCTGGGTGGGGCGGGGGACCCAGGCTGGAGCGGTTACAGGATAGTTCATGTCATGGCCTCTCCAGTCTCCCTCCAAAAAATGCCCCCATTTACCACTCTGAGGTGGTGAAAACTTGAAGAGGCAGTTGGCATGATTCTGCATTGACTGTGAAGGAGTCAATGGTCCATGCTCCAGTTCCCAGGTCCAAAGTTGGAGTGCTGTCTCCAGCCTCAGAGCTGGGAATCCACAATATCCCATGCCCCCCCAGACACTTCCCAGAACCAAATGAGCGAAAGGGCCATTGCAGGATGGCCAGTCATGTATCGATTCCTCAGAAATCTGGAGACACTCTTCACTTTTTCCCATTAGTATTTCTGAAAGTGATCTGCTGCTTTGTGGCCAAAGACACTTGAGTTGCTTTTCTTTGCACAAAGCGACCTCCTTCTCCATGAGGTCCAGCTTAGCTGTGGCTTAAATACTCTGGTTTCAAAAATGGAGGAAGGGCTCCTTCAGATGGAGCTGACTGAGCCCGTTGAGAGCAGAGGATCGCTGAGTTTCTGGTCGAAGGAAACATCCACACAGCTCTGCCTCCCTCGCTCTCATGATCGGCTGCTTCCTGCAGTGCAAAGTCGGCACAGGGCGTGCTGCACTCTGTGACCTGTCACTCGCTGTTCCCAGCTCAGCGCCCAGGACGGCTTGTGGAAAAGCTTGTCCTGTCCTAAAGCGGCACAAGTGTTTCCATGAAGGGTCATCCAGGCTGGCGGTGATCTTGTGTCAACCCACCTTCCCAGGGGGTTTCCGCAGAAGCTGAACCCAGTCACTTCACTGCTGCATCTCGGGTTCATCTCACTGCCGTCATCGATGGCAGAGCCGGCATCATGGCCGGCATGGCTGGGCATCTGCCCAGGTCCCACCACCCAGCCGGGGTCCCCTGGCAAGACTCCTCCTCCCCCTTGATCCACCTGCTGCTTGGCCCAGACAGTGGTGGGAAGGAGGAGGAGCAGTAGTGTCACTGCAAGCAATGAGACCGAGGCGGGAAGTAGCTGGTGGCAAGGGCAGCAGGAAAGCTTGCAGGCAGGGGCCCCTGGGGGCGTCTCGCGTGCAACTGCTCTGAAGGAGTGATCTGAGAAAGCAAATGTTCTTGCCGAAAAGCCTGTCATTCTGGAGGAAATAAGCAAAGGATCCTCCAGGTCAGTAAAGAATGGAACACAATCTGTCAAGGCCTGCTGCTCTAGAGGCAGCTTAATGCAGGGGTGGGGAAAACACAGCACTGCAGGTGTTGGGCTGCACCTCTCATCATCCCTGACTCTTGTCCATGCTGGCTGCAGCTGATGGGCATTGGAGTCCAATGACATCTAGAGGGTGGCAGGCTCTCCACTGGGTGGCCTTAAGGAATGAACTCTTCTTTATCTACAAATTCTGTTACTGGGAATATTCCAGTAACTGATGAACAGACTGGCTTGGAATTGCATAGACCTCGAGGGTTCAGGCTCAAGACTGACTGGAGGCACTGATGCAGTGAAACCTGCCAGGAGAAGAGAAGACACGGGGGACCAGAAACATACCAAGACTGCGCTGTGCTAGTAAGTGGCCTTCCCAGTCATGACCTAAAGGACAGATTACATGAAAGAATGCCTTCTCCCATATCAACTTGTCCATACACCGAGATCTATAGATTAAGGGCTCCTCATTGTCTCATCACCTGCACAAATACATCTGAAGGTGATCAGGAGCAGGGTCTTTTCTGTGGTAGTTCCCTACATTTGGAATTCTTTCCCATCTTTGACAGTGCTTAGGCTCCTGTTGAAAATGCAAAATCCAGGCATTTTCTGGTTTTAATTCTTGGTTCAGTAGATTTGTTTTGCTACTGTTTTTATCTTTACCTTTTATTTTAATTCTTTTAATATGTTTTGTATACTGATGTGTGATTTGATAAAGAAAGGCAGTATATCAATATTTTAAATACCTAAAAATAAATTCATCGCTCTGATTTCAACTAAACCTGTCAGAATGAGCAAAGTTTTAGGTTTTCACAAAGTTTATATTCCCTCTTAGCAGAATGTTTGAAACTCCTTCATGAATAACAGGCTGCCATGTGCCGTGCAATGAAAAATAAGATTCCTGCATTGATTAGGGCGTACAAAACCTCCAAGCTTCTTCCAAGAGAATCTCCTTGTCTGTCTTAATTAGGACTGCAGTCTAAGTCTGAAGACAGTGAAAAAGCCTTCCCACTTTTTATCTGCTGCCACAAACCAAACCAAAAACAAGACAGACAGAAAAAAAAAAAAAAAAGCTTCCTAGCAGCTGCAGAAGTCACAGTTTGTCATGGGATGGAGAAATGATCTGCAAAAGTAATGTTTGTAAAGAGGAAGGAACTTTTCCTTCCGCTTTTTCTCTTATGAAGAGAAACAAGCAAGGCCAAATCAAGTTTCGGAACAAGCTGCAACAGTTTGTCAGAGCAAAGCTGGTTCTTCCCTCCATCTCATATTTTTGGTAAAGGCCCTTGCTTCCCCAAAGTCTTCAATTTTTCCCATCTCTCACCAGTACTTCCCACAAGTTATGTTGAAATCTGCGGTACTTGTACCATCACACAACTATGTTAAAGAAAGAAGTTGCTGAGTCACAGATAAAATTGCTGAGTGTTCTGGCCCTGCGCATGCTCAGGGGTTGGTGCAGTGAATGGGTGAGCGTGCGTTCATGTCAGTAAAGGGGTGAACATTTGGAGGCAATGGTGAAGGCTGAGAACTTGGTCCAAAACACTTGCAGGGCTCCAGGCTGGGTGCTTGAATGCACTGATGAATGCAGAAGGTTCAACAGACATGGGAAATTAGCCTCGGAAAAATTAGTTTGGAGAGAAGCAAGTCTGGCTCGGGGAGGAGGCAGAGATCACTTAAAATGGCATATGCCAGCTTGCTGTTCCTTTTAGACTCCCTGGCTGCTTCCTTCCACTTTAGGACAGAGGAGTGCATGGCACACAACCATTCCTGGGCTCCCTACACTAGACATCTGCCTCAGGTGTGGTAGAAGCCACTATCCTACCACTGGGGTGAGCAAAATGTAGCCAGTTCAGCTGGCTTCCCTGTACATCATGGGACTGGGGCACCATCTTGTCCAGTAGAATGTCTTGGACTGGAGATGGAGATTGAAATTTGAGAAGCATCAGCGTTCTCCAACACATGGCAAATGGTGAATGGAGATGGATGAACTGAACTTGCCATACCTGTAAACACAGGTGAACGAAGAGCTTTTGGCCAGGGGATTCTCATTCAAACACTAATTTAGGCAGTCAATAAAATTTATTTAGGCAGTCAATTTAGGCAGTGTTAGGAATTTAAGCAGTCAAATTTATTAATTTATTAATTTTATATTCCACTTGTTTTCTTTTAAAGAACTCAAAGCTTACACATTCTCTTCCTCCTGCTCTCAATCTACTCCCCACAACAACAACCCTGTGAGGTAAGATGGGCTGAGCGTGACTGGCCCAAAGTCACCCAGTTGGCTCCATGGCTGAGTGGGGTCTAGAACCCAGATTGCCTGAGTCCCAGACCCATGCTCTCAACCACGACACCACACTGGGTCTCAGATAAAAAGCATCTGCTTAACAGTAGTAGTTTGTGTTGGAAAAATGCCTGAATGTAAGATGTTTCCTGTTCATGACTGACTCATCCAGCATTTGAATCAGTTGCTATTTCTGAATCCTATCAGAATCCTTACTAAATCACATGCCAGCTGGAAAGGTAGATTCATCTGAGTGTCTCCTAGTCCTGTTCCCAAAGCCATGAAAGTCCCAAGGTGCGTGATGGCCCACAGGACTAGTCACGTGGCTTTAATGGACGGCATCCACAGTACTTACTGACATTCTCAAATAAGTGACGGGATCATGAGAGGGCTGTGAGGTAATAAA